GCGAGGGAGAGGAGGAGAGACCCTCCAAGCTCCCGATACCTCAGGCGGTAATAACCGCCGTGCAAGCTCAGTCGCCCGCTGCTGCTCCGCTCGCTGCTGCGCTATGCTGCGCTCCTTCTTCAGCCCCTGCTCTAAGTTTAGCGCATCAAACAGTGCACTAGCACTGACCATGCCGTGCCGGTAGAGTTCCGGTAGGCCGATCCCACTACTGAGGCGGATACCGGTACTTATACCGGTGGGCAATGGTCTGGCCTCAATGCTGCGAGGCCAGGCCAGACCCTGAACCGTCCAGATGGACGGTTCAGCCTCAATCGGCGGGCGGCAGCTTCAAGAGCGCCGCCAGGCCCAAACGAAGTGTCGTTTGGGCCTACCCGATGGGTGATAGTCCCAAATCAGGCCTTAAGGGCCTGTAAACCCCAAAGGTCGGGCCTTTAGGCCCTGGTGTGTCCCTCCGGCCCTAAGTCGGGTCCGGTAGGACCCGTGTGAGTCGAAGATGTAACACACTCCCCCTCTTAAAAGTTCGAGCTAACTGCGAGGGCGAAGTTGTCTGTCCGATACCGGGGTGGGTCGGGCGGGACGAGCTGCGTCCTTAGCAAGGCGTCGCTTCTCATAGTCTACGAAGATGAGGGGTGCAGAAGTCTCCAAATCTTCACTGGAGATCAACCGAGTGTCATCAGGCGCACATTGCTTGAATGTGACCTTGTACTGCCTTGGCTTGTTGCCATACTTGCGGTGCGTGATGACTCGGTCAACTTCCTGATGTCCGTCCATAGAAGGCGGATCCTGTGATCGACGTCCAGGGAATTCGTCAGCTGGAGGTGGCATGTAGATGGCCAACTTCGATGCATGGAAGACCCGATGCACTGTTAGGTGCGGTGGAATGTTGATCAAGAAGGAAGGACCGACGGGGTCGTCTCCAACGACAGAAGTGACTTCCCGTGGTCCGAACCATTTCGGAAGGAGTTTGCGCGAAACATTCTGCTCGAGCGCAAATTCCTCGGAGAGGACCCAAACAAGGTCTCCCTCGCGGAAAGGACATGGAAGTCGACGTCGGTTAGCTTGCTGCTGCATGCGGAAGGACATGGAAGTCGACGTCGGTTAGCTTGCTGCTGCATGCGGACCTGAGCCTTTTGCATATTCGCGCGGGCTTTGATCAGCAAGTCCCGATACTTCCTGACAGAAGCGGGAGAGCAAGGGACGTCTATATCGGCAACCTGTGGCAAAAGGAGATCAGCGAAAATCCGTGCTTTCTCTCCACCATGATGTAGCTCGAATGGTGTGACGCAGATCGCCGGGTGCACCGAAGTGTTGTAGGCGAACTCGATGTCGGGAAGCCGGTCAACCCAATCTTTCTGGTCGGGACGGATGAGCGTACGCAACATCATCTGAGCGGTCTGGTGCGCTCGCTCCGTCTGACCATCCGTCTGCGGGTGCCGAGCCGAGCTCGGCTTCATTGTCGTGTCGGACTCCGTCATGAGAGAAGTCCAAAAGGCTGACATGAAACGAGTGTCTCGGTCGCTCACTATGTCTTCCGAAACACCTTGGTTGGTAATCCAACCGGTGTGCAAGAGTCGTGCGAGCTCAGGCGCTGCAGCATGATACTTGCAAGGAAGAAAACGAGCATACTTCCTCAAACGGTCAACGACCGTGAGAATGCCGTCATGGCCGTGGCGATCGCGGGGAAACGGGCCTGTYACGTCCATAGCAATGGAGAGGCGTGGTGCCCGAGGGATCGGTAACGGTTTCAGTTTGCCGAAGGGGACTCGAGATCGACCCTTGTTACGGTGGCAAACTGCACATGACTCAATGAACCTTCTGACGTCGTGAAGAACGTCGGGCCAGTGAAAACGCTGGCGGAGGCGTGCGAGTGTGCGGTTCACGCCAAGGTGTGCCGAAAGTCGTGCATCGTGGAATTCGCCGAGAAGACGAGTCCGTAAGATACGATCTTGGGGCACAACTAACAAGTCCGTTCCTCTCGTGTGAAGGAGAAGGAACCCGTCGGAAATCCGGTAATGGCTAGCCGGCGGGTGATCCGATGAAAGCTCCGCATAAAGCGTAGAGTACGTCGGATCCGACTTGTAGCCTTTGACGAAATGCTGCTGCAGATCGTTATCGAGGTCGAATGCCGTGGTCACAATGGCACAAAAGTCGGGCCGTCGTGAGAGGGCGTCCGCAGCTCGATTGGCGGGACCGGGAAATTGACACGGGTCAAAATCGAACTGCTCGATGTAATACATCCATCGACCGATCGTACTAGTGACCGTGTCCTGCGTTTTGTAAAATGTCAACGGTTGTTATCCAAGTGGCGCCATCGTTTGAGGACGGTGACGAACGCGAGTAGCTCTTTCTTCCTATCGTCATCAAGAGTGTTGACGAGAGGCACCTTCTGGGAGAAGTACTCAACCGGATGCCAACCGTCCTCRTGACACTGTTCCAACACCGCACCAATACCGTATCCCGAAGCGTCCGTAGTCACTTGGGTGGGTAGGGTGGCGTCATATATACGTAGGGCAGGTGCGGCATCGCTGCCTTCAACGTAGTGAACGCGCCACGGGCTGCGTCCTCGAACTCGAAGGGCACCTTCGGGGACTGAAGTCTCGACAAAGGAGCGGCCACTTTCGAGTATGACTCGACGAAACGCTGATAATATCCAGCCAATCCCATGAAAGAGCGTAYAYYYGTCGTGCAACGGGGTTCCGGCCAATCCACGATGGCTTGGATCTTGTCCGCTAAGGGACGAATGCCTTTCGGCGTGACAAAATGGCCCAAGTACTCAAGCTCTTGCTTGGCGAATTCGCATTTGTGGAGATTCGCTTTGTACTTGGCTAGTCGCAAACGATTCAAGACAACGCGAAGGTGTATGATATGCTTGTCCAACGTCCTGCTGTAGACCAAAATATCATCAAGGTAAATGAGGACGCTGTGATCGAGCAAGTCGCGAAACTCAGTCGTCATTGCTGCTTGAAACGTAGCGGGGGCATTGGTGAGGCTAAATGGCATGACAACCCACTCAAAATGCCCATACCGTGTCTTGAACGCGGTCTTGTACCGGTCTTGAGGCTGGATTTCGATCTGGTGGTAACCTGACTTCARATCCAACTTCGAGAAGTACGTCGCGCCGCCTAACCGCTCAAGGAGATCATCAATCCGAGGGAGAGGGCCGGCGTTCTTTACGGTTTGTGCGTTAAGTTTCCGATAGTCGATGCATAACCGTAGRTCTTTGTTCTTCTTCCGGACGAAGAGAACAGGTGCACCGTATGGCGAGCAACTAGGGCGAATCCAACCCTTGTTGAGAAGATCATCGAGTTGTGCGAGAAGCACCTCGAGTTCCTCTTCGCTCATGCGGTAGATACATCCACGCGGAGGGACGGCGCCAGCCTCGAGAGTGATCCCGTGACGTATGGGCCGATCCGGAACCGTTTCGGTGGGAGCCTTGAAGACGTCTCTATACTCGTCCAAGAGGTGRGAAATGCGTGGGTCCGGCGGTGACACGGCTGGTCCGTCCGGCGAGGGGAGAGCATGCAAGAATACAAGGCCCATCTCCTCGACGTCATTCCGAGCAATGGCGTCGCGAATTCTCGCAACGGAAACCACGTGACAAGCAATCGAAGTGTGAGGGGTCGCGACCGTACATGGGACTAACACTCCGTTCCGATCACGGATGTGAACGGTTCGGTCATGGAAGTTCACCGGATGATCGGCGCTACGCAACCAAGAC